TTTTGCGAGGCAGGTGCAGTGCCACTGAGCTAAATCCCTGGCCAGTAAATGTCTTCTAATGTAATAAAAATAGTCCCTGCACCCAGCATTCTTGGGATGTGCCTGCTGTTTTCCAATTGCCTGAGTTAGCAAAGTGGTATTGAAAGCAGACCTTACTGTCCACAGCCAACCCAAGGGCTGGCTGTACGGGCTGCAGGTCTGCCAAGTCCATGGGGCTTCGCAGACAGAGAGCGTCGGCTGACCTCCAACACCACTGCACCCGTTGCCATGGGTTCTGAGGTGGCCACATGGAGTTCGCCCTAACACAGTCACCAGGGAGAAGAGCAGGCAGCCTTCCCGGGGCAACTGCAGCGAGCGAGCGGGCCTGAGACAGAAGCCGGGACGCGCGGGGAGGGAGGGGCGCAGGGAGCACTGCTGAGAAATGGAGAACAGAGCCAGGAGGCCTAACCCAGCTGTCGAGCGGCTGTCTGAAGCTCAGCTACCTGCAGTTTTTCTTCACAGAAGTGGGCAATGTGCTGCCCCACCCCCAGCCATCTGTTCTCTTCCATCAGCTTCAACTGGGTTTGGCCTCTCGAAATGGAAAAAGCTCAGTATTAGTTAACACAATTTCGGCCGCAAGTAGAACACCTGACTGAAAATGGCTTAAAGGACAGATTTCATTATCTGACGGAACAGGCAGCAGAGAGGCAGCTCCAGGGTGTATGAGCCAACAAAACAGCACCGAGAACAAGCATCTGGGCTTCTTACCACTCCGCTTGGCAATTCTTGCTATTCCAGCTTTTATCTTTTATTTTTCACCTTTGATGGTACTAGGGATCGAACTCCAGGCCTTGACACTGAGCTCATCCCGTCTTTAAAAACTATGTTTTTTAAAAATTCTGAAACAGTAGGCGGAGGATTTGGCTCAGTGGTTCCGCCGCCTGCCTTGCAAGCACAAGGATTCAAGTTTGATCCCTGGTACCACCCCCGCAAAAAAAATTTAGAAAAAATTCTGAGACAGGGTCTTGCTAAGTCACTAAATTGCTCAGGCTGGATTCAAACTCGTGATCTTCCTGCCTCAGCCTCCCAGAGTGCTGGAATTACAGGTATGAGCCACCACACCCAGCTCTGGCTTTTGCCTTTGAGCCACAGTGGTTGCATGATGGCAACCATCCAGGCATCACTTCCTCAATTAGTAGAATGGAAGGAAGGGAGGGAGGAAAAGAGGGAGGGAAAAATCTTCCCTTGTTTTTTTCAGGAAGAAAACATTTCTGGGACCCATCACCTAGCACGGTTCCCTTCAATGTCACCTGCCAGACTGGGTTCCATGATCTCAATCAAGGGAAAAGGAGAGGGCAAAGACCAAGCTTTTTTGTTTTTTTGTTTTTTTTCTTCACTGCAAGTTGAACCCACATCATTCTCACTGAGCTACACACCCAGCCAGTTTTTTATTTTGAGACAGGGTCTCACTAAGTCACTAAGTTTCTGGGGCTGGACACAAACTTGTGATCCTCCTGCCTCAGCCTCCTAAAGTACTGGGATCATAGGTGTGCACCATCACATCCAACTGCAAAGACCAAACTGACTTTGTTGGTCGCCTACCCACAAGCCATGTCCTCTTCTTCCTTGAAAACAGAACCCTAATTTTGACCAGGTGTTTTCTGATTAGGAAGAAGGAATTGGGTAGGCAACTGAGAATGTCTGCTGTAAGCCCCAAAACAAGCACTGGTGTTCAGCAAGCCACAGTTAACCCACACATTCGAGACAGTGATGGCTGGGCACAGTGACACACACCTATAATTGCAGTGCTTTGGGAAACTGAAGCAGGAGGATCCAAAGTTTAAGCTCAGCCTTCATAATTTAGTGAGCCCCTATCTCAAAAATTTAAAAAAGGCGCTGAAGACATAACTCAGTGGTAGAAAGCACCCCTGCATTCAATCTCCAGTATCACAAAAAAAAAAGGAACATGACAACCCAAACCAAATTACTGTTAAAGAATTATCATTTTTTACAGGCAGCACAACTAAATAAACACCAACTATAATTTTTATTATTTAAGAAACTACAAGCTGGGGGCTGGGGATTTAGCTCAGCGGTTCAGTGGTCTGCCTTGCAAGCACGAGGACCCGAGTTCATTCCCCGGTATCAAAAAAAAAAGAAACTACCAGCTGGGCACGGTGGTATATGCCCGTAATCTCAGCACTGCGGAGACTGAGGCAGGAGGGTCCCCACCTCCACCACTCAGTTCAAATGCAACCTGGGCTACACAATGAGTTCAAGGCCAGCCTGAACTATAAAGTGAAATCCTGTCTCAAAAGAACTATAAAACTGACCACAAAACTGTAAATTCCTTGAAGTGGTTTTTTTTTAAACCTTTACCAATTGCCCCAGAGTAATGGGTATTAGCCATGAAGGTTATTTTCTGAGTGCCTAGTAGCAGGAAAGGAATGTTAATGAGTAAGCTTCCCAAACTCAGAGCTATAGAACTATCTTGTTAGGTTGTTAGAATCTGCTAAATAGGGAATGGGAACTCAGAATAAAACTGGTTTCCTACTCTGGACTCAAGATCAGTACTACAGAGTGGTGACTGTCCTTAAACCTATTCGATTCCAGATGTTATAAATGAGACGGCAATGTGGAGGCTCACAGCCTGAGCCTGCCCCTGAGGAACAGTGTGGTCTGAGGTACACCAGGTAGCAGGTGCACCAGGTAGCAGCAGGCAGGTGAAGACGGGAAAGCCAGAGTCCGAATGTCCATTCCCAAAGCGAACCTGCATCACATGCATACTGGGAAAGCACCACTACCCCGTTAAACAAGACTGATAAGGCAAAGTCAACTTACAGAGTCAGAGGTAATAAGGAAAAAATATTTATCAGCAGGCAAGGGGAGCCTAATAAAAGGAACTACAGTAACTGCTAAGCCATAGGCAGCCTTAGTAAAACCATTTACTATGCCTCAAGCATCATTCCCTCATTTTACCCTCGAATTTGACACTAATTAAAGTCTCTGCTTCGCCCTTCATTAACCATTCAATGAATGTGCCTGTGTTCACATCTGTTATTAAACAGATTCATCCACTCCACTTGGCTTAGAAGCTAATTATCTTCATAAAGGCCACAGGAAACAAAAGAGATCTTAAGTGGATGCCTCTACTATTAGGGAGCCATTTCGCCACCCTAAACTGTAAGATCAATGTGCTCAAAGGACAAAAAGCAGCCTATGGAAAGGGCTCATGGGGGGACAGATGGACTTTGCATGACCTTCAGGGACTCGCCACCCTTCTCTGAGCCCCAGCATCCTTCTCTGCAAAGGGGACTCAAAACGCTACAGCAGGAGGCAGAGCAGCGGAAATGGAATCAGGGCTGTGAGGCGCCCTTTATGGCTGCTGATGCTAAGGAGGCACTTGGAAAACATGGTTATTGTTACTTCTTTTATTGTGGGGTCACTGAGACGCACTTACCTAGAGAAACAACAGCAACGCTCTCTGGCAAGAAATGCAGTCGGTATCGGATAAGCAAATGCACCAATATGATGCAGATAGCTGTGGGGAAAAAAATGAGACATTGTTTAAAAGCCCAACTTTTTTTAATGGTACCGGTGGCAGAATCACAGAGCTAAATCTGGGCCCTTAAAAGCCCAATTTTGTTTTGTTTTGTTTTTTTGGTACCAAGGATTGAACTCAGGACCTTGCGTGAGCCAGGCAGGCAGCAGCACCACTGAGCTACATCCCTGGCCCTGTCTGTTGTGTTCTTATTGTTTCTTAACCTCGAGGCAGACTGACAGTATTTATTAAATTTTCTCTACATTTCTTTGTATGCCTGAAGCACTGATCTCCAGTGGTTAACTTTGTAATAAACTATAAAACCTAACACAACCATTTACAGTTATTCAACTTTTTTTTTGTGTGTGTACTGGGGATAAAATTTGGGACCTTGTGCTTGCGAGGCAGGCGGCAGAACCACAGAGCTAAATCCTCAGGCCTACATTTATTCAACTTTTCCGGATTATAGGAAATGGTCCTACATTTTTGAAACAGGAAGTCGGTGAAATTACTTTCACATAAACGCAACTGTAACTGATCACATGGATGGTCTGCACCATGTGACTGGTTCTCTTTCAACACAGAAGGAAGTGAGGGTATTTTACAAACAGGGAAAAGTAAAAACTTCAGTTTGATGACAAGAACATTAAAGAAATCTGAAGATGAGTGCCTCCCCCCACTCCGCTGGCTATGGCAGCTGGGTACAGCACTTCCCAATGCAGCCTCATTTAGTCCTCCAAGCATCCTCTCCAGCAGCGTCATGCCATGATCACCTTCGACTGTACATGAGCACAGCAGCTTGGGATGTCATAATGTCGGGGTGTCGAAGCCCAGGGACGTTACTGCAGCAGGATTTTGTGCACTTAACACTGTGAACTGTACCGCTTCCCACCTGGCCGGCGGCCTTCATTCCTCAGCCCCCTCAGGAATAATGCCTGCCTCCCTTTGTCATCGAGGAAAAGGGAGGATGGCCAGGCATCATGGCACATGCCTGCAAACCCAGCACCAGGAGGCGTGGCAGGAGGATCCCAAGTTCAAGCTCTGGCAACTTAGTAACTTAGCAAGACCCTATCTCAAAAAATATAAAGGGCTGGGGATGGAGCTCAGTGGCAGAGTGCGCCTGGGTTCAATCCTTAGGACGGCAAAAGGAAGGAAGAAGGGGGAAAAAAGATGTGATCTATTAGAAAATAATATTTCTGGACCAAAAAATAAAAATAAGAAAAACAGTGTCCTTTCCCATGAATAACTCCTAATGTAATTCTATGCTCCAAATGTTAGCATACATGTCTTTTTTCTTTATTTGACACCTAGGTGGTATACTATCTCGTTAATCACAGTATTAATTTACTAAATTTTACTAAACATAACTCAGCTTTTTTTTTTTCTTTTTTTTGGTACTGGGGATTGAACTCAGGACCTTGCACTTTCAAGGCAGGTGGCAGAACCACCGAGCTAAATCCCTGGCCAATAACTCTGCTTTTTAAGAAAACATTTAAACAATTTACATGGCTATTAACTGGCCGCCCTTAGAGCCCATACTGACAAATCAGATTTCTTCAATCCCCCCAGAAAGTACCAGGAGGCCAGAGAAAAGAAAATGCATTGTAAATGTTGTAAATATAGAAATTCTGTCCTCTTTCTATTCTGTGGTTTAAACAATTTATCAATCTGTGATGTTATTTTAATTTTGTTTTTTGAGACAGAGTGTTCAGGTTACCCTTGAACTCACTATGTAGCACAGGCTGGCCTCAAACTCACATTGATCCTCCTGCCTCAGCCTCCCAATGCTGGGATTACACCATGTCCAGCTCTGTGATATGTTTTAATATAAATATTTAATTCTGAAAAAATTTAACCTTGTTAGAAAGTCCCATTTTAAACACTAAAAGCATGAAAAAAAGCTCCAATGCATAAGCAGCCCTATGACCGAAAACAATGAAAAGCATACACGTGAGCAAGTAAGTAGACAGAAAATAGATAACAAAATTCAGCTGTTGCTCTTGCTTTGCACCACACTGGATTTTTAAAAATTAACAGCACTGGGGATGCAGCTCAGTGGTACAGCACTTGCTCAGCATGTTTGAGGCCTCTCAGTGCAATCCCCAGTATTACAATAAACCATGCAATCAAGTTTACTCTCACTGGGTGTGGTGGCGTATGCCTGTAATTCCAGTACTGCAGGAAGCTGAGACAGGACGATTCCAAATTCAAGCCCAGCACAGTGAGACTTGGTCTCAAAATATATAAGTGCTGGGCCGGGGATTTAGCTCAGTGTTCCAGTGCCTGCCTCGCAAGCACAAGGGTCCGAGTTCAATACTGGTACAAAAAAAAAAAAAAAAGTGCTGAAGAAGCAGCTTAGTTATGAAGGCCCTAGGTTCACTCACCAATACTGGGGGAAAACAAACAAAAAAAAAAACTGTCTTTCACACATAAATCAAAGAGCTGTATGCAGCTTTAACAGCAAACAGGAAAGTTGTTTGTTAGTACAAAAAGCTAAACATGAGGCTAATCGATGCCAGGTGACTTAGGGAGACCCACAGAACGTGGGAAATATATGCAAATCTTTTAAGACTCTAGTGCTCAGAACATATAAAGAACACTTACAATTTAACAATAGTACATTTAAAAATGGGCAAAGGACTTGACTAGACATTTCTCTAAAAGAAATATACAAATGACAATAAACACATGAAGAAATGCTCAACATCAATCATTACAGAAATGCAAACCAAGATCACAACGAGCCATGACTGCATACCCACTGGGATGGTAACAATTAAAAACAACAACCAGAGCCGGGTGTGCTGGCTCACGCCCGTAATCCCAGCACTCAGGAGGCTGAGGCAGGAGGATCGCTGTGAGTTCGAGACCAGCCTGGGCTACATAGTGAGTTCCAGGTCAGTCTCAACTACATAGTGAGGCTCTGTCTCAAAAAACAATAAATAAATAAATAAATAAATAAATATCAACAACCAGAGCCAGGGATTTAGCTCAGTGGTTCTGCCATCTGATTCTCAAGTACAAGGTCCTGAGTTTTATCCACGGTACCAAAAAGAAAGTAACAAGCATTGGTAAAAAGGTGAAGAAACTGAAACCCTTGTAAAAAGGTGCTGATTCTGGAAAACAGCTTGGTAGTTCCTGAATTAAACACAGAGTAACTTTTCAGTCTCACAATTTTACTCCTAGGTATATATCCAAGAGAAATAAAAACACATATTTATTACATCATGTAAAGGTACAAGATCCCATTGATGAATATAACTGTACTGAATACCTAAAATGTACTAATAATCTTAATTAAAAAAACATATTCACATAAAAACCTGTACATAAATGTTCATGGTAGCTCTATCTACAACAGCCAAAAGGTAGAAATTACCCAACTGATAAGTAAACAAACATGACACAGTACATCCACAATGAACTAGTAGTCAGCCATAAAAATGAATTCTAATACACGCTGCAACACAGATGAACCTTGAAGACTTTAGGTTAATAAACCAGTCACAAAAGACACATTGTACAATTCCATTTATGTGAAAGATTCTGAACAGGCAAGCTCCTAGAGATGGCAGAATACTGGTTGCTAAAAGGAAGAGCAACAGGGAGTGGCTGCTTTTAATGTTTTAAACCATAGTTTTATTTTTTTAAATTGTTTTTTGTTGTTTTTTTTTTGAGACAAGGTCTCACTATGTAGTTGAGACTGACCTGGAACTCACTATGTAGCCCAGGCTGGTCTCGAACTCACAGCGATCCTCCTGCCTCAGCCTCCTGAGTGCTGGGATTACAGGCGTGCGCCACCACACCTGGCTTTAAAATGGTTTTTATGATGCTGATTTTGCCACAACAAAAATGATGAGGTAGCAGAAAATACATTAACATGGAAAGATGCCGAGACATTTTTTGAGATGAAAAAGCAGGTTATAGGACCCCATTTATGTTAAAATAAACTTCAAACTATATGTGCTTGCATGCGTCTGTGTGCTTATGAGTGTACTTATAAAGACAAGCGTGTTTTCAAGTACTTAGGGAAAAAAAACAGAGCAAGGAGGGAGAAAAACTTCTGCATGATACAAAGGCTGCATATTCCTAAGTGAACACACTTTCTTTTCATGCCTCAAGTGATAATTATGTACAATACAGTGCGCACAGAAATGTCAATTTTAATAACTCCATTAGGCACAAATGTATGTGGCAAATGACATTAATTGTTAACTCTAGTTTAAGTCAACAATAACGACTGTTGTTTCTTATGGAGTCAAACACAGTATCACCCAGCGTCAAATGCATTTCAGCAGACTTCAAGCTTTAAAAGCCAAAGGTAACTGGAGAAGCTAGAGGCGCAATTCAGCGGTGGAGCACTTTCCTAGTGTGCCCAAGGCGATGGGTTTGAGCCCCAGCAGCGAACAAAACAAAACAAGGAATTTCAGCACTGTTCCTTAGCACAGGGGACACACTATAATCCTGTAACACGCCTGCTGAACATAAATTCACATTTTCACTTAACTATGATAACAAACTAAAGTGGCAAAAGTATTCCAGGTTGGGAGTTCCAACAAATTATGGACTAGCTTCTCTCAATTCACTACAGTCCACCTACAGTGTTTAATAGCTAGCAAGTTACCTATTTATATTTATTTATTTATTGTGGAGGGTTCTCAGACAGGGTCTCACTGTGTAGCCCAAGCTGGCCTCAAACTCATGATGATCCTTCTGCCTCAGCCTCCTGAATGCTGGGATTCCAAGTGTGCACCACCCCAGCCAGCTAGCAATTTCCTTTTTTACTCTATCAGATTTACAGTGTTTGGACATCTAATCAGGAGCAAATGATAATAATAAACAAGATCAGAGAAAATATGCCTTTAATTTTATGTAAAAAGAAGGTATCATCCCATCCTGCTATTACAGCTGACCAATGCGTGTTAGTGAAGTTACGGACTCCCAACTGCCTAGAATCCGATTAGATGAAAACAAGTCATCTAGTGAGCCTAGAATCTAGGTTTATGATCAGTTTGAAGAGAAGACAATGCAAGTACAGTTCAGCCCTTCCTGTCCCCCAAAATACACTAAGAGCAGGCAGGACTTTGCCTCTACTTGGAAGCACAGTACCGAAAGCTTTTTGCTGTTGGAACTGGATAGTGGACTGGATTAACACAGGCTGATCTCAAACGCTCTATACCCCAGGGCTACTCTGAGTCTTCTGCCACTTCTCACCCTCCCTTTATAAGGGGGATTACAAAAGGTTTTTCCAAGCCAGTGGCAAGGTAAACACACGGATAACACATAATTCTGAAAGGAGACTTCAGAAGATTTCTTAATTGAGAAGAGAACTGCTTTTCTTTTGTACTCAACTACTAAACCAAGCCAAAACAAAACAAAAAGGAGTCCTTGATTTACAGGGTAAAAAAATTTCCAGGGTGTATTAAATCTACATGGAATATTATAACGTCTGATTTGGGTACTTTCTTGGTATTCAATTTTAAAGTTTTTAAAACTCTATGACAGACAAGGATGAATCTAGATTTCAAATAAAATTACTGTATTTTTGTAATTATTTGATCACTCATCAGTCTGGACACAAATGTGAAAGAAGTTATACATTTCTTCAAAAGCCAGTCCTAAGAGACGTTAGAGAAATATGCAATAAAAACCCAGTTCCACCTCTGACTCTTTTGAAACAATCTAATTAGAAAGATGACTCTGGTATTATTTTTTTAGAAAGCAGCAAATGTACACATATCAAGTTCACTTTCAAACAAGAGTTTAGAGTTGGGTCAAAGTCTTAAATTCTTTCTTCCTTAGTCAGCTAATCCAAAGTGGTTGTGTAGTTTCAGTCTGAGTTCTTCTGTCCAAAACAATTATCTATCATCTAGGGGAGTTTCTGCCTCTGTGTGTGTGTGTGTGTGAACACATGCCTGTGTATGAGGTACTGGAGGCCTTTTGCACTGAGCTACATCTCCCCCACTTCAAATTCTGAGATAAAGTCTCACTAAGTTTCTAAATTCCCTAAGCTGGGATCAAACTTATGATCCTCCTGCCTCAACCTAGCTAGTTTTCCCCAATTATCTAAACCTCTTGACTGAGGAGGTCTGGAAACCTAGACATCAGCCTCTGGTCTCCCACCAACCGGATGTGCCAATTATTTGACTTCGCTAGGCTTAAATCTGCTCACCTACTGAAGCAGGAAGGGGAAGCAAATAACATTTTAAGTTTGAATGAATCCACTTAAACTAAATTATTACAATAAGAAAGAGTATATTAAAAAAAAGAAAGTAGGGCCGGGGATTTAGTTAGTGGTTCTGCTGCCTGCCTCATAAGCACAAGGTCCTGAGTTTGATCCCTGGTACCAAAAAAAAAGAAAAGAAAGTAAGAGCATAGGTGGCCCATGGTTACAGTAAAGGTCATGATTTGGTTAATGGGACAGTAAGAGATAAATGGTGTGAGGAGTTGTGCTCTTCACTCAGCAGAAAAACCTTAAGAAATGGATCAAGATGCAATATGAGGGCATGGGATTTAGCACAGTGGCACTGCAGCTGCCTCACAAGTGCAAGGTCCTGAGTTCAATCCCTGGTACCGAAAAAAAACACGTAATATGAGTGTATGCCAATACCACATAATGACTGTTTATTATATATCATAAACATACACTAATAAAGGTTTTTAAAAAGAAACTTTTAATAAAAAATTTACATCGAGCCAGGCATGGTGGCACACACCTGTAATCCCATCACTCAGGAGGCTGAAGCAGGAGGATTGCTGCAAGTTGGAGGCCAGCCTGGGCTACATAGTGAGACCCTGTCTTAAAAAAATAAAAATGACAACAAAAATCCAAATAAATAAAGTGAGATCCCGTCTCAAAAAACAAGGCTGGGCACAGTGGTGCATACATGTAATCCCAGCACTGGGGAGGCTGAAACAGGAAGATTGCCACCAGTTCAAGGCCAGCCTGGGCTATGTAGTAAAACCTTATCTCAAAAAACAAATAAAACCCAAACTAAAATAAATTCAAAACAAAACAAAAATTTACACAGAAGCCTAATAAACATAAGGGACAAAAGTGCTGTTCCCACTGATACCTTCACATTTGACTCTCCCACCTCTTGCCACCTGCCACACACACACACACACACGTGCACAGACTTCTATGAGCAGAATTTGAAGTCCACTATATTAAATGTTCAAGGTTCTTGGTCAAAAATTCTTTAGTTTTTTTCTTCCAAATGCCATCTAAGATAATGCACTAAGGGCTTTTCTATGATTTCCTAAGGCAGAGGGAGTACCCTGGTTGGTATGAAGTTATAAACTGGAGGTTTGCCCTCAGGGTTTAAAGCGAAAGCCAGGTGGAGGGAGACTTGCACAGTGAACAGCAGTGACAGGGTTTAAGACACTCCTGATGGCACACACTCACCTAGGACAAGGAGGCTGAAGAAAATGGTCATGCCACTGGACTGCTCCTCCTGCTGAGCCTGCTCCCCCGTCTGCACAGGAAGGATGGGCTTGGCAGGGGTCGGGAGCACCAGTTTTGTCGTGACACCCAGGATAGTGTGGAGGGTGACATTGAAACTCTCGTGAGTTGTATTGGAGAATCTGTTGGAGGACGTAAAAAGCAGCAGAATTAGACAAAGGAAAAAAGGCTCTAAACTATTAATATGCACACTTCAGACTGGAAGGCGAACTGGGCAAAGTGTTTTACGGGAGTTGCAGGTTTTGTAAGAGATGAAGGAAACCCCTGCCTGAAGAGCAGGCTGCACAGCAGGGTACCGGTGATCTCAGGTGCTTTTCAATAGTCTCATAAAAGACTGGAGCAAAGGAAGTAGGGCTGGCACCGAACTGCTACCTGCTCTTCAATAGTTGATGGGGGGCCAACTGGCCACGTCATATCCCAAAGCCCAACACTTTTATTTCCCCATTTTACGTTCTTTTCCTGATTATTTCTGAAAGTTGAAAAAGCCACTTGAACTTGCCAGAAGGTCCTACCCCACCTTACAAAATCCTTCTCAGATTCCCTAAGGCTCGGGTTACCGCTCTGAATACCCCACTCCACCCCAATTTCCCCGCCCCACAGCTGTGAACCCACACTCTTCTCCCATTGTGTTGCGGCTGTGAACTGGTGCAAACTGATATAATGATAATAGTAATTATGAGAATTGCTATTTATGCAGCCCAGCTCATTCCAGGCAATAGGTAATACAACACTTCTGCAGATTCCCTAACTCGGCCAACATCTCAGTCAGTGGCAGAATCAAGCTTCCAAACTCTATAATCACTGGGTGAAACCACTTCTGCCTTGGGCGGCTGAGGCCTAGTTTAGTGTCTAGGACAGAGATCCATAAGTGAGTCAACTAAATGACTTGCCACCCATTTGACCACAGGCATCTGAAACATGTCACGTGGTGGAACCTTGTATCAATCAAGAGGTCCTTGTTAATCTTCACATACTTCACAGACAGGACATCTATGTGACAAGGGGCAGATGGCAGCCATCTCCAGGTGTAGGGACGGACTACTGGTGGTCTGGAGAAAACAGACCCTCCCTGCACCTCATCATTTACAGCTAGCCACCCTGCTGTCTACACTCCAACCATTCTGCCTTTCTGTCACTCCAAAATACTAAATCATTTCTTGTTTCGGGCGCTTTGGACCTAATACCACCCCCTTCCTATCCCTCCTTGTTTATTCAACTTCCTTCGTTGGGCTTAACAGGATTTGAAACCACCTTGCTGGTCCATCTACCCTCTTCTCCCACTAGAGTGGCAGGTCCTTGAAGGCAGCTCCTAATCTGCCTTCTTTGCTACTATGTGCCTGGGGCCTGCAATTATGTAGGCAGGTTAATGAATGAGTGAAACTTAGTGGGTTACACAGACGCGACAACTAATCGTTACATAGGAGACTGGCTTAGTAGCAGGTGTTGTGGGGGATGGGGAGGACTTCGTCGAGGCGGCAGAGCGTTTAGTAATCTTCATAGAACTGGAAACTGGGAAAGTGAAAAGACAGCTCGAGGTTTTGGCAAGAGAGACCTCAAGGCCTGCGCTGGGCGGCAGATCCCCAGCCCGAGGGTCCGGCCTGAAAGAGGTTGTTAGGGCCCAAGTACGCCCAGACCCATCCCACCCTTCTCACAGATGCCGGCACAGTCTGCGTGGCTAACTGCCACAAGGAGCTCCGCCTTCCACGGCCAGAGACTCGCCGTCACCCGCCGGGGCCCAGCCCTGCCGCCTCCGCAGCCCGGAAAAGCCCACTCACTCCTCTTCCGCCATCTTCTCCCCAATCCTGCGACGCCTCCAAGACCACCGAGTTCGGAGCCACGAGGCTAGCACGGCCCACGTCGCTTCCGGCTTCCGCTGGAGGCGCGAGAGGGCTGGCGAATGAGGGCGGGGCCTCGGCCAAGCCGGGACGACCCTCTGTCCCGCCGTCTCAGTGGCCTAAGGGCGGGAGGAGTTGCGTGGGAGGGCATCTCTGGGACTCTCAGAGCGCAGTCAGGGGGAAGCAAGCCTCATAGCCAGGGGGCTCGCTTTCTCTGTCGCTGGCCGAGTGCGATTTCCGGTGGACTCCCGTGAGGCCCCTGTGACTCACCCTGAGGGATGGTACCTTCCACCTAATACTCAGGAATTTCCTCTGCTAAAATGTGGGTGGGGGATGGGCTCAATTGAAAGTCTAGGCTGTTCTAGGGATCCTGACGTGGCACTGCAATCCTAGCCCGTTTTCCTCATCTGCTGAAGAATAACCACGTGGACTTGAAAGATTGTTCAGCATTCCATCTGTAATCATTTATGATTATCTGGCGTCTAAAATAGGTGCTGAAATCCGGGTGTGGTGGTGCATGCCTGTGATCCCAGCACTGGGAAGGCTGAGGCAGGAGGATCATTGAGAGTTCAAGTCCAGCCTGGACTACATACATAACAAGAGTCAAAACAAACAGGTGCTGATGGTGGAGGAAAGGATCATTCATTCATTTGTTCATTGATTCAACAAAACTTTTTTGTTTGCTGTGCTGAGCTACATCCTCAGGCCGTGATTCATGAAATGCTTGTCTTGGGGTGGGGGGTTTCTGGAGGAATTGAACCCATGCTTAGCACTGAGCTACATCCCAACCCTTTCTATATTTTTTTTATTTTTGAGGCAGGGTCACTCTGAGTTACTAGATTGCCCAAGCTGGGCTTGAATTTGTGATCCTTCTACCTCCCCACTCAAAAGGGCTGGGATTACAGGTCTGCCCACTGCTTGGCATCTACAGATTCTTTTTTTTTTTCAGTGCTTCATCTTCTGCCTCTCTGGCTTTTTAAATTTTTCTCCAAACCTTTTAATTTATTTTTAACTAAGTTTATTAGTACATTTTAAGTATACAGTATAGTTATATTAATCATTCGGATCTTGTACCCTTACATGACTCATCTTGGTTCTTTCCCCATTCCCAGCCCTCCCTTCACCCCCTCCACCCTTCCCTAGTTACAAAGACATTGTTTCCATGTTTTTCCTTTTATCATATTTTTTCTATTCCCTTTTTATCTTTCCCCTACCCCTCCATTTCCTCTCCTCTTTTAGACCTTTTTTTACACAATATCAGTTATGCATTTTGATCCTTATTTACACTTTTAGTTTTTCACACCAGAGAAACTATTCGGTATTTACACAGGTGTGTTTTATTAATTTCGCTGAAGGGTATGACCTCAATGTTCATCCACTTAGCTGTAAGTGTCTCTAGTTTCTCGTTCTTTATGGCTGAGTAGTACTCAATTTTATGAAAGAAAATCTTTATGCAGTCTCCAATTGATGGGCAATTGGGCTGCTTCCAAGTTTTAGCTATTATAAGCTGTGCTGCTATAAACATGGGTGAATACATATCACTGTGGTATGATTCTTTTAATTCTTTTGGGAAGACACCCAGCAGGGGAATAGCTGGTCAAACAGGACTTCTAATCCTAGTTGTTTGAGGTATCTCCATGTTGATTTCCAAAGTGCATCTACAGATTCTTAATTGACTTCTATTCATACAGTACTGCCTTATGGGGTCAGGGCTATAGGAAGGTAAAGATAAGGTTGTGAGGGTAGGTGGAACCTCATCCGGAAGGCTGATACCTTGTCCTAAGGCCTTTGGATTTGACCCCTGCTGCTTCCTTCCTGTCCAGGCCACCATATCGCATCTGCATAATTGCAACAGTTCTGTGAATGGTGTGACTCTGATGTGGCTCTTTTTGGTCTTCCACACGTGGGCCAAACTGATACCTTAAAATTCTAATCATTCCTGTGCTCAAAAGCTGTAAGGGGATTCCAATCTAAAAAATAAAACCTGGATTTAGCTCAGTGGTTCTGCTGCCTGTCTTGAAAGCACAAGGACCCAAGTTTTATCCCTGGTAGCAAAACAAAACAAACAAAAAAACCCTTGGACAACCTGTAGGAATCAGTCCTGCCTTCTTGACCTCAGGAAGCTGTATACACACACACACACACACACACACACACACACACACACACACTGACACTGTCATAGTTTGGATCTAAGATGTCCCCCAGAGGGCTTATGTGTTCAGAAGTAGGGTTTTTAGGGCTTAGGATTTAGCTCAGTGGTTCCATCACCTGCCTTGCAAGCGCAGGGATCCTAGATCAATCCCCAGTAACCCCCCAAAAAAAACCAAAACCAAAAACAAAACAGAAAGAGGTGGGGTTTGTGGAGAGGGACTGGATCAGGAGGGCTGTAACTTCATTGGTGGATGAGCTCATTGATGGGTTCATAATTGAATGGTGTACCTGGGAGGTGATGGAAATTCAGGAGGTGAGGCCTAGTAGAAGCAAGTGGGTCATGGGGGCCTGACCTTGGAGACCATATCTTGTCCTGGTGCCTCTCCCCTGCCCCCCAGCCAAAATATCCTTTGAGTTGTTTCTCTGGTATTTTGTCTCAGTGACAAAGCTCACCCAACAGATAGGCCTTTTACTATTGTCATAGTAGCTTCCTCTGCGTGCTTCCAACACCAAGAACACTTCTGCCTCTGCATTTGCTAAGCCTTTTGTCTAGAAGACACCAAGGTAACCCCTTAGGCTCTCCTCTCACACTTTGCAGCTTTTTTTTTTTTTTTTTACCAGGGATTGAACTTGGGTCCTTGTGCTTGCAAGGCAGGCACCTGAACCACTGAGCTAAATCCCCGGCCCATCACACTTTTCAGCTTTTGACTTCCCTTGTACATTAGGCCTTCCCTGGCCACTCTGTATAACATTCAACCCCTCACACCTTAACTATTTTTCCACAGGTCTCATAAAATACTGTTTGTTTTACTCATATATATGTTGCTTATCTCCCTCAGTGAGAATGGAACATTTATGAATACAGAGATTTTTATCTGTTTTGCTTTCTATTTTATCTTCAGTGCTTAAAACGGTATCAGGGACAGAGTAGACCTACTCAACCACTGAAAAATACATAATTTAGTTCATTCTAGGTGTGTCAGAGAGCCACAGACGGGTTTCATTCTGAGGAAGGACATGATCTTGTCTGCTTGGGGAGAGTTGAGGCAGGGGGTGGGGTTCTAGGACAGAAGCCCCAGAACCACCCAGGAGGCTTTGTGATAATAAACGATAATCTACATGCAAGGTACGTGTGCGAGCAGATGGCGGTTGGGATGAAGGTGCTGAGCGCAGTGTTTGCTGATGGACTGTGGCAGATGAAAGAGAATGAAGTCCGGGTTTTGGCTCTGAGGAATCAGGCTGAGAAGAGATCTGTTTGACTGAAACGGAGTTCTCCACCTCCTAAATCTTCTTAGGACAGTTGTCAAAACTAACAGTGAGTGTGGTTAGGCTCCTCCAGCGTTGACCGTTGACCTAGTCCTGCCTGCAGGTGTGATGCTGAGCTATTATTTCCTTAAATCCTAACATAATTTTGCAGCAGATACAATCATAATCCCCAAACGGAAACAGAGGGGAGCCAACCCATCTTGCAGTCACACAGCTAGCACATGCTGAAGCTGGGGTTTAGGAGCAGAGTCTGATTTTAACCAGTGGCCCAGTGGGTTGAAACAATCTGTTTCCCTGGCTCTAAAATGGGCCAAATAGCCCTCTCCCGTCATGTCATTTAGCACAGAGCCTGGGAGTGGAGGGAGGAACTGGGCCACACAGGATGGAGCGTTTCCCAACTCTGGCCACTTAACTGAGTTTTGAGGCTGTTACTCCTTTTCCAGCCCTACAAAACCTCAGGGAGGGCTGACGACAGAGCTCACTAGAACTTGTTCTGGCACGATCATGGTCCCCACATCTCAGTAGAGCAAAAAACAAAAAGTAAAAACAAAGAAACAAAAACATCTGGCCGGACTATGCCAAGGGCAGCCCCGCTCGCCCCTCTCTGACCCACTGCCCCCTCCACAGCACCTGCAGTCACACCCGGGTCTGGGCGCTAGGTGCATGGTGAGGCCCTGGCCTTGGCTTCCTCTGGGCCTGCTGCCAACCCTGAGGCAGCAGAGTACCTGCTCTTCATACCTCTTCCTGTGAATAAATCTAAAACCCTGGGTCGTTGTCCCAGGAAGGCAAATAAAACCACTAGACGCAGTTCCTGGGCTTCGGGGCCGTGCCAGGTGGACAAGTCCCTGACACGGAGTCCCAGTGCCCATCACATCTTTTTGTTTTTTTTTTTCCTACCAGGGATTGAACTTGGGTCCTTGAGCTTGCAAGGCAGGCACTGGAAGCACTGAGCTAAATCCCGGCCCCTTGTCACATTTTTTAGCAGCACTTTTCCTCAGAGGGCGGTTAGAGGATTAGAGACCTCTCCTGCCTTTGTTCTCTGGGCCTGAGCTGTTCTGCCCATCTGCCCACTCTTCCTCTTTCTTGTTTCAGCCTCCCATTGCCTCGGTGTAACCGTCACCTGTTCCTGGAGGCCCTCCCTGGCCACTCAGCAAAGAGCAGGGTGGTTCAGTGAACTTTTGCTCTAAAGAACTGACATAAATTCTGTGGGCTTTGCAGGGCTTGTGACCATGCAGTGCCAACTCAGCTCTGGGGTGAAAGCAGCTGTGGGAGAGGCAAGCAGGTGTGTCTGGCTGTGTTCCAATAAAACTTTATGGACACTGAAATTGGTCATTATTTTCATGTGGTGGGAAATGCTATCTCTGGTTGAATTTTTTTCAAACATTTAAAAATGTAAAGTCATTCTTAGCAGATGGACCACAGGAAAGTAGGCAGCAGGCTGGATTTGACCCCTAGCTGCTGCCATCCAAACCAGTCTTAAACACAAGAAAGTGTCTCTGAAGTACTTGTTGACATCAGATTTTCTTTCCCTTCTTTTTGCCTTCCTTTCCTTCATTCTCCCCTTCCTTCCTGAGTTCACTTTTCCATTTCCCATTCTAGGACGTAAGGTTCCAGA